GAAACAGGCCGCCATCCGTAGAGCCCAATCGCAACGTGGCGCGAGCGATAGGTAACGCATAAATGAGGTGAACAGAGCACGCTGAGATAGACCTCCGGCCTATACTTCGCTAAGTTCCTCTGTTCCTGTGCAACATAGACGGGCCGCGCTGCGAATGGGCTTCATTGGATGCCGGTTGCTACTGATAGCCACATTAATGACCGGACGGTATGCACCCCCCGTCGTTGAGGCGTGGTTTCGCCGATCTGCATTATGCGAGGTTTACAAGGCGGAGGCAATTGCGGCGCAGAAGTCCGCGAAGCACAGTCTCGTTCTGAGCAAGTGCGCGATCGCGAAAGCCCCTCTTATGCCCTTAACACCATCTCCAGCCCCGGGAATGAGCTGAATATTATGTCTGGGTTGCTCTGGAATGGAGTTGAGAGGAGGGTTCTCTTGGAAATTGTGGACCTTCCCCTCATTCGATGCATTGCAATGAGCTTCGCGACTTCTGTTCTGTTCCAATCCAGAAGCTCTTACTGATTGCGGATATCCTGCAGTCGTCGCCCCAATGGCAAAGCCAAATCAGCCTTGCGGACATCGCCAACATCGAACGGACAGACCTCAAGCCCTACTGCTTGCTCTTGGAGACCAAGGATAAGCGGATCTTCTTCTCGCTGAAGAGCGACGAAGAACTTTACGGCTGGCAGGATGATATCTACTCGCGAAGCCCGTTGATGGGCGTCAGCAACCCTACCAACTTTGTGCACAAGGTCCACGTTGGTTTCGATCCGGTATCAGGGGCTTTCACCGTACGTCGCGCCATTCTCAGCATTGCAATTGATGCTATATGCTTGAGTTGCAGGGTCTGCCAGACGCATGGAGCAAGCTGCTCACGAAGTCCGCCATCACCCGCGAAGACTATGCAAAGGACCCGCAGGCCGTGTTGGACGTGCTCGAGTTCTACACTGATCACCAGAAGCGCGAGATGGAGGAGCTTGGGTATGGTTCCTCACGCGTCGGCGGTAGCTCATTCGGCTCCAACTCCTCGCTCTCACCATACTCGGCGGACTCTTCGAGCGCCCCGCGCTTCAATGCGGGCACTGGCCTCGGCGGCGTGGGCATGTCGTCCAAGATCTCCCCTCTCAACGACCGTCCGCAGATCAAGCGCCAAGACTCTGCACCGGCGCACATGAACGGCGACAACACCAACGGGACGCAGGCTGCGCTTGCACGCGCCGCTGAGATGGTCAACGGCTCGCATATCCAGCACGCCAACACTGTCTCCGCCGCGCAGTCGAACTCGGCCATGCGCGCACCAATACCGCAGATGACGCCCGGCCAGCTGCAGGCGTCGCGCCCAGCACCGGCTCGTCCACTCCTCACCGCGAACCGTGCTGCGCCGCCCGCCCCTGGGAAGCCTCCCCTTCCTGACCATTCGCCATCATCTACGGAGCTTCGGCTGCGTGCGAAGGCGCAGGGCCCGGAGACGCAGGCGCAGACTGTGAAGCCGCCAGGGCTGCAGCAGCCCGAGCGCAAGGACTCGCTCGACCGGGTGGGCAACGGCACACGCCCGAACCTCGTCCCTGCGAAGTCGTCCCCTGCGACGGGCCAGCCTGCATCCCAGCCTGCGTCTGGCCCGGCGGGATCGACGGTGGGCCCTCCCCCAATCAAGCCATTGCAGCCCGCGAAGAAGCCTGCGCTTACCGTGACCTCGCCCGAGGGTGAGGAGCGCGGTGGCGGAGTGGCGGCGGCGGCGGCTGCGCTGGAGAAGCCGAGCATGAAGGAGAAGGAGAAGCGGATCAGTTCGATGAACGAGGCGCAGATCATGGAGAAGCTCCGGAGCGTCGTGAGCAAGGACGATCCCAAGGCTCTATACAGCAAGATCCGCAAGGTCGGGCAGGGGTGAGTGTTGTTCTTACGCACCGTAGGGAGGTCGAGCTAACGTGAATCTGTCTCGCGATAGTGCGTCCGGACATGTGTACGTCGCGAAGACCCACGCGACTGGCAAGAAGGTCGCCATCAAGGAGATGGACCTGTCGAACCAGCCGCGCAAGGAGCTCATCGTGAACGAGATCCTGGTGATGAAGGAGTCGCAGCACCCGAACATCGTCAACTTCCTCGACGCGTACCTCATCCGCAACAACGAGCTTTGGGTGGTCATGGAGTACATGGAGGGAGGTGCGCTCACGGACATCATTGAGAACAACACGCTCGAGGAGGACCAGATCTCGAGCATCTGCCTGGAGGTGAGCTTGATAGTGTACTTTATGCGACTGTCACAGAAGGTGCTTATGACGCATCGGCGCGCAGACGTGCAAGGGTCTTGGCCATCTGCACAGCCAGTCAATCATTCACCGTGACATCAAGTCGGATAACGTTCTGCTGGATGCTCAGGGCCACGTCAAGATTAGTGCGTACCTTCTCCGTCCTCGTCATTACCCGAAAGTGCTGACGTCTGTACTATAGCCGATTTCGGTTTCTGCGCGAAGCTCACGGACCAGAAGTCGAAGCGCGCGACGATGGTGGG